CGAGGATGCAAAACCAAAGGAAAACTTGCACCCTAGAGAAGAATTTCCAAAATTGTCTACATTTTTAAAAAATAAAAGATAACTGTAACTTCACATACATTTGTAAGAAATAATACAGAGACATGCCTTGTACACTTTCCTCAATTTCCCTCATTTTTCAGATCCTTGGCACCACTGTCAAGACTATTCCAGTTCTACTTTTGATACTAACACACACCTTTATAGGCAGACTTATTTTCAGGTTTTTAACAGCTTTGAGATACCTTGCTATATAAAAGTTGTAAATATTTAAGGTATACAACTTGATGGTTGAATACATGTTTATATTGTGAAATGATCATCATAATCAGGCTAATAAACATATGCATCACCTCTACATGGCTATCACTGTGTGTGTGTGTGTGTGTGTGTGTGTGTGTGTGTGTGTGTGTCTCCCCATTTCCTTCTCCGCCCAGCCCGGACCACCACCATTCTAATATCTACTTCCTAGTGTAACTGTTGCAGATCCTGCATATAAGTGAGATCATGTGGTATTTCTCTATATCACAGGTGGACTTTTATTATAATTCTGGTGTTGCCACATACTGGTCCTTATCAAATAAACTAAATTTTATGAGATATGCTTTCTCATTTAAAAAAAAAAACAATGAAAATCACTTGATGAGTTATGGTTAAAATTAAGTAACAGAATATTTTAAATAATTGTTATTATTTCCTAACATATGAGCAGTGATTTAGAATGATGTCTGTTAGTTTTCGCATTCCCTTTACCTGTGACTTGGAAATAAATTATTTAAAAAACACATATTAGTTTACTTTCAAAATTATTGCCTTTGCTTTGTCTTTTTTTAAAACAGAAATTCTTTTCTTTTTTTTTTTTTTAGATTTTTATTTATTATTTGACAGAGATCACAAGTAGGCAGAGAGATAGGCAGAGAGAGAGGGGGAAGCAGGCTCCCCACTGAATAGAGAGCCCGATGCAGGGCTCAATCCCAGGACCTTGGGATCATGACCCAAGCCGAAGGCAGAGGCTTTAACCCACTGAGCCACCCAGGCGCCCCTGCCTTTGCTTTGTCATAACTAATAGAATAACTTGCTTACATAATTACAGATTTTTTTAAAGAATTTCATCTGATTGCAAAATAAATATTTTAGCATTATAAGAGTTTTTTCTTATTGCCTTCATAGCTGCCCAGTTTTATTTCATAATTATAATAGCCTCTTCAACTGAATATACTAATGAAAAGTTAATATCCTCCCCTGTTTCTGCAGTAGTTCTTTTTCTCTGGAAATCTCCTTCTGTTTGCCTGGCTTTAATCAATTATTGTTCATGACTATATGGGAAGAGTCCAGAGTACTTTGTGGGATTTCTCAACAATGTCCTAGACCAAACTTCGATGTGTCCTGATTTGCCTCATTCTTCTCAGTGAGCTGATGGATTCTGATATTCCTCAAGAATGAATAAAAGCAGGTTCTCCCTTCCTTTTTTCCAGAATTGGTTCTGCAGTGGTTCCTCATGCAGGCTTGGATGAAATCTGTCGACTCCTCGAAAAAGCAAACCCATCATCCCTTCTGAGTGAATACTGCAAATTGATTTACTGGTTTTTAGAATTAATGAATATTTTATGTCATAACAAACTGCCAGATGTTTTTCAAAGTGGTTGTCCCTTTTTTCATTATCAGAGGTCAGAAAGGAGAAAGGATGATATGCTACGTGGTGATGAAGGCAGAGATGTACAGTAGACTGGACTTTGGGATAGTCTATTTTTGCTCTGTAAATCTTGCTGACAATTAGAGAGAAATGCAGGGCTCCAAGTGTGTGTATATTTATGGAGTGTGAACAGGGGTAGGGTAAGTGAGTTGATTGCGAGGACCAAGAAGATGAGTTCCGAATACTTCTTCCTTTCTCATGCCTCCTAAAAATCCCATATCCATCCTTTTATTCCTTTTGAATCTCTGATTTGACCTCACATCCTAGCCCCAAACACCTAAGCTTTCCCTCCAGACTTCATGTGAGAAGTTTGTGTGAGGGCAAGAGCTTCTGAAATGTGAAGAAAGAGATTTTTGGCAGTATGGGGTGTAAAAGCTGACTTTTTAATCAAGATCTCTTCTCTTCAGCTCTCCAGAACTCCCTTACTTCTAAAACTCAAATCCCAGTACCTGTTATGCATTTCTGAGTAAGTTGAGATAGGGCAGCTTTGGGCTATAAAACCTGGGCTCAATCTGTAATTTGAAAATTACACTTACATAGAGGACCTGATGATTTCGAGCTTGTCTGAGAAGAGATAACAAAAAATTCATCTGGAAAATGTGGGAGGGACTCAGAGACCCAAGAGAAGATGAGCGGGTAGAAGGGTAGGAGGGTAGGAGGATGGCTCTGGAGGATGTCCTGGGGACCACCTGTGAGACATGAGATTCAGGTGGAAGAAATCAGTGAAGAAATCAAAGCTTGCTGGTACAAGGAAACATGGGCTTGTGGTTGGAAACCTGAATGAACCTTACTTCTTCTCCTACCATCCAAAGTCTGTCTCTGGAGCTCAGCGCATTGCTGTGATCCACATTCCAGTTTACTATGCTCTTGGGGATCAGGGAATAAAAAGTCCTCCTTAGGGCTTTGTGTCCCCCTCCATTTCCTATATCTCCTGCTGGGAAAGAATCTAAATGAAAGCTCTCCCACTTTGGGCCCATGAATTTTAACTGTTTTCAGTCTGAAAAACAAAACAAAACCAAACACAGGCCACAGGAAGTAATGTGGTTCAGTTGCGCTGGTACAGAATGAGTAAACAACAGGAATTGAGATAAGTATCTGAGTAAACCTTAAAAACAAAACAGAGAAGACAGGAAAAATTGTTAACATTCTGCACAGGAATTGATATCAGGGTTCATACCAGAATTCACATGCACTACAGCAATTATGTTGGCTGCAAGAGTAACAGTGGAACAGAACCATGATTATTGTTAGCATGTTCAATGCAATTAAAATATTAGAGCTGTATAACTGCGTATTTTTCTATTCAAATATCATTCCTTACTATGCAGCCATCAAAAGCAAAACAAAACAAAACACCCCGAAATCTTGCCATTTGTGATGACATGAATGGAACTAGAGGGTATTATGCTAAGTGAAATAAGTCAGTCAGGTAAAGACAAATATCATATGATCTCACTGACATGAGGAATTCGAGAAACAAGACAGAGGATCATAGGGGAAGGGAGGGAAAAATGAAATAAGATGAAAACAGAGAGGGAGACAAACCATAAGAGACTCTTAATCTCAGGAAGCACACTGAGGTTTGCTGGAAGGGACTGGGGCGGGAGGGATGGGGAGGTTATGTGCTATGGTGAGTGCTGTGAATTGTGTAAGACTGATGAACCACAGACCTGTACCCCTGAAATGAATAATACATTATATGTTAATAAAAAGAAAAATCATTCCCTGTGTTCAGCACCTTGTAATAGAGCTGAGACAAAAAGGAACAACATAGAAAATTTCCCTTCCTGCCTTCATAAAACTTACTGTTGTTTGGGTGCGGGGCTGCAGGAAGAAGGATACTTGATGATAGGATCATAAGACAAAGGTGATTTAAAAATGCCAGCTCTCAGAATGTAATTTCTCCAAAATTTAGATGATTATGATTACACTTGAAAAGCATCACAATTTTATTCATTATTATGAAAAACTTACTTCAGTATGGCTCAGTGATTATGCTTGCATGATTTTCAGTTCCTGCTTCATTGCTATAAGTGATTCAAAAGGAGTTTCTAAGCCATGATTACCTTACCTTTCTGTGGGTTACAAACAATACCAAAATATCTGTGCTTTAATTTTCCAAGCATTGGTTTCTCAGTTGCTCTACGGGGTCTCATGTTGGCTCATGTGTGAAGTTTGCTGTGCTCTGCCATTCTGCCAGTCAGGGTCCATGGTAGAGCTTCCACCATCATGCAATTCCCTATCTAGAACATGTCATCAGAACAAGATAGATAATGGCACAAAAGTGTGTGTAGGAAATACAAGATGTTTCAGTCACAAAAGTATGTGCAGGAAATACAAGTTATTCCAGTCCTGCCTCTGACTGAGATTAAAAAGGGCAAACTTTTCCCAAAGGAAGTAAAGAAAGAAAAATTATGGAGGAGTGTTACTCAGTAAAAGATTATGCTTGAATACTACCATGTATTAACCTCCATGATCTCACCTGCCTCCTAGCTGTTGGGTAACAAGGCACTGACTCGAGTTCTACTATGGTTAATTTCTGCAAGCCTTCCTTTTCAGACCTGTCGGCATAAGAAATAGAAACTGGTAGTTAACTGGTGTACTTCTAAGATTCAATGACATTTTAGAAAAATTTTCTCCATAGGCTCACACTGAAGAAACTTTTAAGTTTGATTTTTACTATTCACAATGATGCCTGCTGATAGTCACTATGTCTGCCCATATTTACAGAGCTTTATGACTGATTATTTTTCCCGTCGCAGTCTGCATTGCAAGAGTTCAGGCACCAAGCCTTTCCAGATCATTATTTTATCTTTTGTGGCTTGACTGGGGCTTGAATATAGCATAAGCTCAACAAATAATTATAGGATTGAATTGAAATGCTGAGTATTCAGGCTGTATCATTGTACTTCTCATTTTTTTCTTACTCAAATATTCATGCTGGAGTAAGCTGGGGTAGGAGGAAGACTGGGTGCCTGGCTGGTGCAGGTCCTAGAACATACCCTTTCCCGACACCCTATGTGGTGTCTTCTCGTTGCTCTTGTTTTTTAAGTTTCCATTCTGCTTCTTTTCTTTCATTTCCCCTTCTCAGATTTTAAGTTTCATTTCTACCCAGTTCCTGTAGGGAAACTCCCTTGTTTTCAGTTACCAGTTTTCTGGCTTGGTGAGTGAATCTTGCCCATACCTGCTTCTGATCTCCACAGAGCCAAGACTTCTCCACTTCAGCCTAAAGGTCTGTGGGGCAGTTTGTGAGGGCAAAGGGCAGGAAGTTTGGGAGGAACAGACTGAATGTATTTGGATGAACTTGTGGTTCTGAAGCTGCTCTTAAAGCAGAGAGCCTGCTTGTATGTTTTCTGCAGAAGAGAGATAATATTGAGTCTGGGGATGGCATGACAGCTGGAAAAGGAAGACTTAAGAACACTGAGACCCTTGTTTGCTTCTTGGAGGGATCATCATTATTTCTCAGGCTGAATTACACTCATCTTCTTTCTATTCTGAGGTTTTGACTTTTCTACCTTGCTAAGGTGAGCCAGAGTAACTTTTTTTTCAGAAATAGAAAAAACTATTTTTCTTTTCCTCCAGTGAAGTGTGTGAGATGGGGCCCTGTTTTCCCTCTTCATAAAAGCCCAAGCTCTGGGGTGCCTGGGTGGCTCAGTGGGTTAAAGTCTCTGCCTTAGGCTCAGGTCATGGTCTCAGGGTCCTGGGATCGAGCCCCGCATCGGGCTCTCTGCTCAGCAGGGAGCCTGCTTCCCCTGTCTCTCTGCCTGCCTCTATGTCTACTTGTGATCTCCCTCTCTATCAAATAAATAAATAAAATATTAAAAAGAAAAAAAAAAAAGCCCAAGCTCCTCTAGAGAGCCAGTAGAGACAAGAGTCCTTATCTGGACTTGTGGGAAGGAAAGGGATCTTAGGGCTTGTGCCAAGGAAAAGACACTCTTGTAACTCCTCCTATTACTCTTCTTATACTGATAATTTCTGAAAAGTTGTCCAGAACTTTCCTGATGAATCACCAGACTTTTGGTCAGCCTGATGAGAGAGACTGGATGATCAGACTGCTGTCCACCTCTGCAGCTCCCCCACAATCACTTGTCTCTCTGGGGCTTCAGACACAGGGAATTTGTTCTCTTCTGAGTGAACAAAGCTTACTCTCACCTCAGCAGCACCCCACGACACTCTGGTGTCCACTCCTGATTTAGAACTTGTCCTCCATCATCTTGGACATACTTCTCCATTGCTAAACTCCTTACTCCATTTTCTCTGCACAGAGCTAAGGAAAGGAGTTGGTAGTTTCTCAGAAAGAACTCCATCTTAATCTTACGTCTGAACACCTTGTATCATATCTCTGTTACATAATATTTTGATGTGTACTTTCCTTTCTTCTCCCTTTTCAAAAGTCATTGGTCTGTCTCTTACATCTAGACAAGTTTCATATCTGGTGCATATTAATTGTTTACTCAGGGGGCTAGTACAGTGTCTAATGGATGGGAGAAAATGGGCTTTAAATTTTTAAAAATACTTTTGATTAAAGTCACAAGAGCAAAAGCATATAACTGTGATGAAAAAAATTGTATTAACACCTACTGAACAGTCAGGAAATATTAAGCATCTATAAAGGATTATAATCTGGGTGAGTGGAGAGAAAGTAAACAAATAACAAAATAATGATGCAGTACAAGAAAAGACAAAAACAAAGAATAGCATTAAAAGACAAAAAAGACCCATCACAGGGCTCAGTATTTATGGTGTACCCTGGTAAAGTGCTTTGCAGGTTTTTTTTTTTTTTTTAAATTATTATTATGTTCATTTAGCCAACATACAGTACATCATGAAATTTTGATGTAGAGTTCAATGATTCACTAGTCACAGATAACACCCATGCAGGCTTTGCAATTTACAATAGTTTTCAGGCTAGGTCTCAGTGTGGGAAGGTGATTTTCAGCTGAGTTTTCAAGGAACTGATGGATTTAAGATGGATTTTTGCCCAGAGTGATCAAGGAACACATAAGACAGCCAGTGTGGGTGGGGGAGGAGTAGGAGCTGGGCTGAGGGGATAACACAACAGAAGGGGATGTATAATGTGGACCAACGTTGACCATGATAAAGAGTTACTCAAATTGAACAACATGCATTTGACTGGAGAAATAGTAAGATTAATGGATGCTTAAAAAAAAAAATCATTCTTGCTGGTGGTGTGAACAGTGATGAAAGCAGATTGTATGAGATGAATGACAGTACCAGGAAAACTGGTGGGGGACCTTTTCCTGGAATTCAGGTAAAAGACTCAGTTGGATGAGATCTAATTTGAGACAGACAGGGATGAGCCTACCATACCTTATGGACTCTAAAAGAATGATCTGTAGGTCATTTGATTCTATTTCTACATTTGAAGAAAGGGAGTACTCTTATTTCTCAAGGAATTTTATATAAGGGATAAATAGGTCTAAGTGATTTGTAAATTGCAACTGATTATAAAATTGTTAGTGATGAAATTACCTCCTGATTGTGGCCCTTGTTGTGTCTGTAGGTGTCTCTGGGGATTGAATTTGAGGACATAGAAAGGCTCTGGGTGGAACAGTTGCATTGGGAGGTAAATTCTTCTGGACCATTAGAGAACTGCTAATAGAAAGAAAAGATGAAAAGCTGATGAGAAAGGTCTAAGCACGTACAGAGGGATGAGGAGATTCTAACTTTATATATTCATGACGCTTTGTGTTCCTGTGTATGATGCACTGTTCTAGGTATTGAGGCTCCATCAGTGCACAAAACCATGCCTGATGTATGCATGGATTGCTTTTTAGGTGGAAGAGGCAGACATTGAAAGATGCTATGTATTACATAGCAAAAATAAGAGAAATATAGCAAATGTACAGCAAGCAATAGTATCAGCAGTTTTGCTATGGAGAAGTCAAAGCAGGTCCTGATAAGAGGGCTGAAGAAGAGATTGATGAAACAAAAGAGTGAGTCAGGCTGAGATGGGAGAGTGGTTCCCTTCAGAGGGACAAGCAAGTGCAAAGTTTCTCTGAGGCCGCAGTGGCTTTTGTACTTTTGACTTTAAGAAACTGGAAAGGCAGAATAGATGAAGCTCAATAGCAGTATCCTAGGTGAAAGAATTCAGTCTCAAAAGATCATGTTATGGCTGCCTGGGTGGCTCATTGGTTAAGCCTCTGCCTTCAGCTCAGGTCATGATCTCAGGGTCCTGGGATCGAGTCCCACATCAGGCTCTCTGCTAGGCAGGGAGCCTGCTTCCTCTCTCTCTCTCTCTCTCTCTCTCTCTCTCTCTCCACTTGTGATCTCTCTCTGTCAAATAAATAAAATATTTAAAAAAAAATCACATTATAATTCTACTTATACAAATTGACCAGAAAAGGCAAGTCTATAAAAACATATGATCAATGGTTCCCCAAGGCTCAGGTTCAGAATGGGGATGATGGCTAATGGCATTCAGTTGGTTTTCAAGTGATGGAAATGTTCTGAAATTGGACTATGGGGAAAGTTATACAGTTCCCTAAGTTTGCTAGAATCATTGTATTGTCCTCTTAAAATGAATGCATTTGATATAAACATAACTTGATAAAGTTTTTATTTTTATTTTTTTTTGGTTGGTGAATTAACTTTTAAAAAAATTTTTTTTATAAATATATAATGTATTATTAGCCCCAGGGGTATAGGCCTGTGAATCACCAGGTTTACACAGTTCACAGCACTCACTATAGCACATACCTTCTCCAATGTCCATAAACCGCACCCCCCCTCCCCCGCAACCCTCAGTTGGTTTTGTGAGATTAAGAGTCTCTTATGGTTTGTCTCCCTCCCAATCCCATCTTGTTTCATTTATTCCCTTCCTACCCCACAAACCCCCCACATTGCATCTCCACTTCCTCATATCAGGGAGATCATATGATAATTGTTTTTCTCCGATTGATGATAAAGTTGTTTTTAAAAGGTGAGTCATGCCAAACCATAAGAGACTCCACCTCACAAAGCAAACTAAGGATTGCAGGGGGTGGAAGGGTAGGGATAGGGTGGCTGGGTTATGGACATTGGAGAGGGTATGGGCTATTCTGAGTGCTGTGAAGTGTGTAAACCTGATGATTCACAGACCTGTACCCCTGGGGCAAATAATACATTATATGTTAATTAAAAAAAAAAAAAAGGTGAGTCATGCAAATATCCGGGGTAGGATCACCCACACCGGAGAAGAGCAGTGCAAAAACCCAGGGGCCATAATTGATGAGGGAGCAGGAGGCTGGCTGAAGACAAAGCAAAAGCTGGCACCTTGCACCCCTTTCCACCCGCTCCCCTCGGTAATGTATGTGACATTCCTCAGGCACCCCTGACTGCCATAAACGAGAAACAAATAGTTAACTTCCAGAGATCACAATCCTGCAAGACAGAGTCTCCCTTGGTTTACAAATGTCCTAGAGATCTACAAACAAAGAAGTTACCTTATCAATAGCACAATTTCCAGAGGCAAATAACTCAGCTCCTCAAGCCCTAAATAAAGTTAAATTTCTTCTAAACCCAAATCTCACTAACAAAGATGCTTGATAGCAGAAATGTGATTGGCTTGCCAAAAGACAACATTGATCAAGCCACAAGGCCTCCGGTATCCCTGCACCTTGTAGGCCCTCTTTAGCATATGAAAGCTCCGTTGGAACCTCCCTTCCCCTCACCTTCCCCCAACCACAAGGTACATAACCTGCCATCTCTCACAACCCGGGGCAGCAGCTCTTCCTGCCCATGGGTCCTGTCCCCGTGCTTTAATAAACCACCATTTTGCACCAAAGATGTCTCAAGAATTCTTTCTTGGTCATCGGCTCTGGACCTCAGCCCACTGAACCTCACCTAGGTTCTAGAACTTCATCATAGTGGGTTTAGTATATTTAACAGAGAGGATGTGTTTGGGGGTGGGGGAAAAATAGACAGAAAAAAATTGATGGGTTGCACAAGATTCTTGGTAGGAAGGGCTTCAATGCCAGTAGAAGAGAAACTAGCAAGCTTGCCCTGGTGGGGTGAAATCTGTCATGTAACATTAAATGAGAGGAAAGTGTTTGCAATTATTACTAAGAGCCCTTTTCATTCTGATACTGACCTATTCCTCTTGTTTGTTTTCTTTCCTTTATTGTATATTCCTTTATTGTATATTAATGTTTTGTCCATTCTGAATCTCTACATAATCAGTATCCTTTCTATTTCTGCCTTTCTTATCATGCTCCTTTCAACATTCCCTGCCCTGCAGGAGTCTGTGAGCAAGGCAGGACTCTACTCTCAAGACAAGAAGAACAAGGGGAGCACTACAATGGATTTTCCAGCACAGATGAACATACAGAAGGAAGTGACCTGCCCCATCTGCCTGGATCTTCTGACAGTGCCCCTGAGTCTGGACTGTGGCCACAGCTTCTGCCAAGCTTGCATCACTGCAAAGAGTAAGGATTCAGGGGTCCACCAAGGAGGGGAAAGCAACTGCCCAGTGTGCCAGTGCAAATACCAGTTTTGGAATCTCCGACCTAATCAGCCCCTGGCCAACATAGTGAAGAAAGTCAAAGAGAACATGAGCCCATGGCAGAAAAAGCTCTGTGAGCACCATGGAGAAAAACTCCTGATCTTCTGTAAGGAGGATGGGAAATTAATTTGCCAGCACTGTGCCCAGTCTGCGGAGCACCATGGTCATCAAATATTCTTCATGGAGAAGGTGGCCAAGGACTGTCAGGTAGGCCCAAAGGAGAAAGTAGATGTGGCAGAAAATTACCTCAAGTGAATCATTCACTTTTTAAAATTATTTTCTTCCCTTTGTCATCGTAGAACTGAGCTCTGCGATCTCTTTCCATATCCTTGTTTAGCTTTTGAGATTTAAATTAAATTTTTGTGCACTCTATCATTTGATCAGAAATAAGTCTAGGCTACAAAGAGAAGTTGGATGAGTGGAGAAATGCTCCCCAAGATAAATTCTGATTTCCTCTTTGAGCAGAAGGGTTTCTGGAGAACATGGTTGGTTGGGTGAGGGGAACCTGTCAATGAGATGAAAGGACTTTCCTTGCTGCAGGATCAATTCTTCCTCTCAGAAGAGAGAGATTCAGGTTACTCTTGATCAAGGGGTGGTAGCTTGCATCATCCAGGGATGCAGAGTATATTAACCTCTTCAGATTTTTGTCTACATCCTGGATTCTAATCACCAGTTTCATTTCTGTAACCTCCTCTCTTCTGAGATGAGTCTGATCTCTTCCCTCTATCCAGGTGCTAAGAAAGCTCATAGCTTAACTCTGGTGATTGTTTTCTCACAGGAAAAGCTCCAGGCAGCTCTGAAGAAACTGAGGAAGGAGCAGCCGAAAATGGAGGAGTTGGAAGCTAACATCAGAGAGGAGAAAGCTTCCTGGAAGGCAGGAAGAGATATTTCCTGAGGGAGTACTGAGACAGAAAACTGGCAGCACCTCAGTCCAGTCACAAGGAGGCCCCTTCCTCTTTGTTACCTCAAATTAATGAGTTTGGGGGCTTCTCATTTGGTCCTCATTTCACTCCTTTCCTGTTGAGGGTTGGGTGCCAGAGAGGATACATATCACAAGTGAAACCAAATATTTGGAGGTGAAGACATGGAGGAAAGCAATGTAAAAACGACTCATGAACCTCATGTCTGAGGCACAAATACTTCCAGAAAACACTCCAAGGAAAGCCCAGTGTTCCCTATTTAGGAGCTGTGGGTGGAAAGGGTTCCTAGGCAGTGTGGCATGATTACCCAGGACAGGTGTCTGCAATCCCAGCCTCATCCAGGTGTCGCTTTGTGTCTCAAGGTGGGCTTCATTAAAGCAGACTTTAATATATTCCTTTGGGAGAAACTCAGGAGAAAATAGTGGGGAAATGGTTTTCTCAGTAGTTGTTCTCTGACTGTTCCCTTCTCTTTGAGAAGTCCCTGAAGAAAATAGTTCTTGTCTTGGCACCCAGGCCCAGACAATGTAGGCTCTTGGCCAGACAGACTGACTGCCTCTTTCTCTTCTCATCCCCAAAGAATCATATGCAGACTGAGAGACAAAGGATTCTGAAAGGGTTTAATGACATGAGAGCCATCCTGGACAGTGAGGAGAAGAGGCTGCTGCAAAAGCTGGAGGAAGATGAAGTGAATGTGCTGGATAACTTGGTAGTGGCCAGAGACCAGCTGGCCCAGCAGAAGCAGTGCTTAAGGGAGCTCATCTCAGATATTGAACATCAGATATGGGGGTCATCAGTAGACACAGTGCAGGTAAGGCTTGGGTTGGAGCTCCCACATGATGAGATTCAGGGTAAATAGAGAGACAATATTTTCTTCTCTGCTGGGTCCCCAAACTTGCTTCCTCATGGTGACATTCAAGGCTCTTGGGCTCCTCAGTACACCTGTGTCATTTCAAGGGTTATAGGGATAATTCAAAGTATGAATGACAAAGGGAATTGCCATTGTTTGTAATTTATGAAAGGCAGTGCAAAAAATTTGGAGATAAATTCTTTTTTTTTTTTTAAAGATTTTATTTATTTATTTGACAGACAGAGATCACAAGTAGGCAGAGAGGCAGGCAGAGAGAGAGAGAAGAGGAAGCAGGCTCCCTGCGGAGCAGACAGCCCGATGCGGGGCTCGATCCCAGGACCCTGGGACCATAACCTGAGCTGAAGGCAGAGACTTTAACCCACTGAGCCACCCAGGCGCCCCTGGAGATAAATTCTTTATAAGCTCCCATTATCTGTCTTCCTGCATTTGCAAGGCATCTCTTCACTAAGTTTAATCAAATACCACAAATCTTTATGTTTGATTTTCTTGTTGTTGTTGAGTCCAGACTGTGCAAAACCTGTAGTTTTGATTTGCATTTCCAAGTGTAGACCAATAATGTTGAACATCTTTCCATGTGGTTTATTGGAGATTTGTATATCTTCTTTGGAGAAATATCTATTCAAATTCTTTCCCCATTTTTCCAATTGGGTTGTTTGCTTTTTATTGTTGAGTTGTAGAAGTTTGTTGTATGTTTTCTATACTAATACCTTATCAGATATATGATTTGCAAATATCTTATCCCTTTTTGTACATTGTCTCTTCACTGTCTTCCTGGTGTCCTTTGATGCACAGAAATTTTTAACTTTGGTGTGGTCCAACTTAGTTATTTTTCTTTTATTCCCTGTGCTTTTCTTCCTATCATAGCCAAGAAATCATTACAGATCCAATATTGTGAAGATTTTTCTTTTTCTTTTCTTCGAACAGTGTTATACTTTCAGATCTTAAGTTTAGATCTTTAATTGCTCTTACATCATAATTTATATGTGATATTAGTCATCCATGTTTAATATTATTGTAACTGTTGTATTATATTGAGCCTTTTTGGGGAGATATAATTTGGTAAAAAGGTTGAGGAGATGGCAGTGAAGGGATGGGCTGTATGGGACATCTGTCCAATCTTAATTCAATTAATTCATTTTTTTTTCTTGGTAACAACCTCTTGAATTACCCATTAAGGAACCATCCTCATTCTCAGTCCATGGAGTTGGTTAGGGTTTATAAAATTGGTAGCATCGGGGATGAATGTGTCTCTCAATTCTAGGTAAATCAGAATATGAGATTCCCATATGCTCACCAATGATGAAGTACTTATTTTAAGATAGGGACCTGACCCAATTTAGGTCAATGATTTTTATGCCTTAGAATTTTACTATCATGACTAGAAAGAGAAGTTCCCTTTTTCAGCAAGTAATATATCAGAGATTATCATTAAAGCAGGAGATTCAAGTTGATTCTATACAGAGTCTAAAAAGAAAGCCAATATTGCAGGTGGAAAATAGAATTTGAGAAGAACAGATTCTGATGACAAGATTTTCATTTAAAAACCTAGCTATGACTAAAGTTATACCTGCCCCATAATTTATTCTTCTTTCTTTCTTTTTTTCCATTTTATTTCTTTTTAGTGTTGCAGCATTCATTGTTTATGCATCACACCCAGTGCTCCATGCAATACGATTCTTCTTTCTTTTAAATTTAAACCAGTTTTAGTCATATACAATAACAAAAAAGCCTAATACAGAGAATAAAACTTTATCTGAAGATGTAGAACCAACTGATGATCAAGACTTTGTTGGTATAAATGGGTTAGGCTGGAGAGAAGGAAACCAAATATATTGGTACATTTCTATTCAACAAATTAGGCAAATAATGGCTATGCTGGGAATAAAAAAGATGGCTAAAAGATTTTGAGGATATAAGCTGGACTGGCTTAATACAATATTGGAATTCAGAGTAGAATATTATAGTTTCTAAAGCAGTGACTGAGTAGATATTGGTATCATTTTGGAGAGTGGGATATAAATAGTTGGGAAATAGTAACCTACATTTTAGACTTCCTCAGGTTCTGGTTCCTGTGGCTTATTTCATGCTTAAAAACTGCAGAGAGTAACTGTAGGCAGTATAGAGGACATATATAGAATGAGTAGAGGGAAGCCAGAGAAACACTTGTTTGAAGTTCTTGATTACTTGTACCTGCAGTGAAAGAAAGTATACTTTTGGAGAACTATTATTATTAATTCCTCATCTTTGACACTCTAGAGCCTGGAATGATGTCTGGCTAATATGGGTTTCACCTTTATTTCTCTCTAGAATACATAAGAGCATGATGAATTAATGAGGTCTCCTCATGAATGTATTTTTTGTAATGTCAAAGTCTCATCTACTTGTTAAATATATCACATCTCCAAGTACTAGAAATCATCTATCTAACATCCTTACATGAGCCCTTGGGATGGTTGATCTCAGTCTTATCTCTATATTTTGTCCTCCATACTCTGATAATCTATTTATTCACCTCATACCAAGGAGCTTTAGGGGCTCTAAGGTGGAGAAAACTTTTTAATTTAGGAGATCTTATAACTCTTGGAGGGTTGCCAGACAAAATACAGGATGCATAATTAAATTTTAATTTCAGATAAATAATAAGTTGTTTTCTTGTAGTAGAAGGGTATTCTGGTATCCTAAATATTGCAAGAGGTGTACTTAAACTAAAGTATCTTAAATTAAATTTTAATCAGCCATTTTTATTTTCTAAATTTGGCAATCCTATACATGAGTCATGTTTTCTCTTTTCTCCCCAGGATATGATGAATGTCATGAAAAGGTATGTGTGGGAGACCAGGTATGGTCCTTTTTTTTTTTTTAATGTGAGGACAGAATTATAGCCATGAGAGTTCTCTTGGGATCAATCAGAATAAAAAAAAAAAAAAGTCACCGAGCTGGGGAATTTGGGAATTATATCATTACAAATTTTTGATCACGGATGAAGATTTTCAGTGGAATTGGGGTGGTAGGAGGTCACAGAGCTAGGGCCAACAAGATCATGATTTCACTCATTCTGGTCAAACCTGTCTCTGCTGCAGTTTGTTTCCATATTTCATGGGTGCCTATCTTATTTCAGAGAAGACCCTATCCTCCCTCTGCCAAGCCCCCTAATTTCCACAAGGACAGCCCCTCTGCATTTATTTTCTTCCTGATATTAGAAGAAACAAGGTCTTTCTAGTGGTTTTATTTGCACTTCCAAAAAAAAAGTCTCTAGTCTTGGGGAACAGTAGCTTCATCCTGATGCCAATAATTAATCTCTTCTTGCTTACATACATTAGCATCTTGTAGAAAATACGGTCTTCTGTCTAACATTGCCTACCCACTTGGCAGCATCATGGTCTTCCTAAACACATGAAATTCAGACCACTATTCATTTGGTTGTCATAACTTCTTCTTTTCCAGATGTGTGTAATGTTTCCCCAGAGAATATAACCTTAAATATTATTATCTGGACATCTGTACTGGGATAAAAGGCTTTGGAGACCCTTCACACTTTTAATACAGCAGCTCCATACTTAATAACCTAAATCCTTCCATAGCCAAGCTCTGGAGTTTCTTACTGATCACATGCCTGGGAACTCACATCTCTGGCCTGTCCCTGGTAGAACCACTACATGGCAATGACTTCTTCATATATCAAATAATTTTTTTTTTAGAGGTATCAATACCTCTTAAAGGCACCATTATTTCATCCAACTTTATTATGAAAAGATAGAGTATGTAGTTAATTTTTCCATTTTAGGAGGAAGAACATGAGTTTCTTTGAGGTGAAGACCCTCTGAAGATCACACAGAGGGTAAATGGAAAGGTAGACATGAGCATATTCCTTCTGGTTGCAGCATCAGGGATCTCCCCAACCCCACTTCCCCAGGATCTCCAGTGGAGAAGATTTAAGTGCATCGGTGGAGCAAAAAGTAAGGGAAACAGTGGTCTTGCCGAGATTTAAGGTCAGAAGTATGGGGTGATCAATTTTTGTCTTCTCTAGGAGTGAGAGGTGGACCTTGAAGAAGCCAAATATTGTTCCCAAGAAACTGAAGAGTATATTCCGAATTCCAGATCTGAGTGGGATGCTGCAAGTGTTTAGAGGTAAGGGGAATCAGAAGAAGGTTGTAGGTGTGGAATTCTTGTAGTATCAAGCAAAATAAGGCAAAATAAGGGAGAGGATGTTTCTAGATGAGAGAAGATAGAGGCCTGACAAGGAGAGCTAGATCTCTTATGCTGAAAGACCTAAGGCGGAATGGGCAAGGTGTCTGGTTCATTCACCAGTTCATAGCCTCACAGATCTCCCCTCCCTACCCTCATCCTAGTGAGAAGATAGGTATCAGTGTTTACTCCTTTGTTTCTAACAACATCATTGAAACTTTTGTCATTTCAGAGCTGACAGAGGTCCAACGCTACTGGGGTAAGAAGGAGTTAACAGGTTCTTCAAATCACCATATTATGATCCCTTTTTAGACATTGTGGGTACTATCAGGTCCTGTGATCTTAGCCTCATGTATTCCTCCCCAAACATACAACAGTTTGTAAGTGTTCTAATCATCTCTGACCCACCACATAAGTTCCCCCCAGTCCATTCCTGATAACCTACCTCACAATGTCACAAGACACACTTACTCTGTATCCATCACCTGACCCTCTCATTTTTTCCTACAGTGGACGTACTGCTGAAGCCAGTCAATGCTATTTCGAATATTGCCATTTCTGCTGATAAAAGACAAATGACAACTGTGCACAACTTCTCTCTTAAAAGTGTATTTCTATGTGATTTCTCTGCTTTTGATGTCTTGGGCTACCAACATTTTTCCTCAGGGAAGTATTACTGGGAAGTAGATGTGTCTGAAAAGATTGCCTGGATCCTTGGGGTGTACAGTAAAGCAAGAAACCTCAAGAGAAAAGAGAGCTCTGGGTTTGTTTTTGATCCAAATGTAAATCATCCAGATGTTTACTCCAGATACAAACCTCAGTTTGGCTACTGGGTTATTGGGTTACAGAATGAATCTGAGTATAAGGTTTTTGAGGAGTCTTCCACCTCTGATCCCAAGATATTGACTCTTTTCATACCTGTTCCTCCCTGTCGTATTGGGGTTTTCCTTGACTATGAAGCACGTATTGTCTCATTTTTCAATGTCACAAACCATGGGTCACTCATCTACAGGTTTTCTAATTGTCAGTTTTCTCATACTGCTTATCCATATTTCAATCCTTGGAATTGTCAACACCCCATCACCTTGTGCCCACCGAGTTCCTAAACTTTCTCAGTCCCTCACCCACTTCTGTGTAGCACCCCTTGTCCTGGGGTTCATCTACAACTGAGCTCATCTGCACCATTCTGAACATGTCTTCCTTCTTTTCTCCATCTTTCATTTTAGAATGTATTTGAGATAGTCTGCTAGGACTGCTGTCACAAAATACCACAGAATGGGTGGCTCAGACAACAGAAATTTCTTGTCTCACAGTTCTGGAGGCTGGAAGTCTAAGACCAAGGTGTCAGCAGAGTTGGTTTTATCTGAAGGCTGTGAGGGAAGAATCTATTCCTCGCCTTGTAGACAGCTATATTCTCATCTACCCACTGGGCATGCCTAAATCTCTCTTTTTCTAAGGACACCAGTCAGATTGGAAAAGGACACACCCTAATTACATCATTTTAATGTAGTCACGCCTGTAAGACCCTATTTCCAAAGGGTCACATTCTCAAGTATTGGAGGTTAGGATTGTAACACATGAATTTGGGTGGAACACAAGTCAATTCAACAGTCTTTTAGACATCCCTACCATGTAGTGAAAGCTTGAGGTTTTCCTTCCTAATATTTTGTCTTCATTAGGGGAGAATGCTTTTTTTTCCTTATTAGTTTTTGCTTAGTATTAGGAGAGAATGCTTATTTGCAAAGGGAACACATCTAATCCCTTTTATAGAAAGAGCAGTATTGCTGTACCTCCTCTGACATCTCCTTTCCTCATTCCCTCTGTTTAAGGGATTTAACAAAGGAAAAATTATAAATTCTATCCAAGTGCATAGGGCATAGAATAGTACATAGGAATCTGTCACTAGGTAATGAATCCTTCAGAGTGTGTTGCTTTACCAATAACACCCCTTTATGTATCACAGAGTTAAAGCAGAAGTGCATAAGTAAAATATATACTAAGAGTAGATTTTTGGTACTCAGAGTTTCTAAGGTCAAATCTTGTCTCTTATAAGCTGTGTAAATTTGAACAAGTCACTTAGCACCTCTTGGTCTCATTTTCCTAAAAAAAAAAAAAATTGATGTTAAAGATTGTACCTATTTCATAGGGTCACATTGAGAAATCAAATTTTATTAGAGGTGAAGCACTTACCTAAGAGTCTTATATGTAAGAATAAATATCTGTTATTGCTGGAAAATATAAGCTGTATCAATGAGAACTTTTTTTTTTTTTTTTTTTTTTTTTTGGGTTTGGTCTTGCTTTAATAAATGATAATTGACTCTATTGAAGTCTCATTTCTCAGGTCCCCAGATCCCATGCAGACGGTATGAGTTTTCATGATGTGTCCTCTAGAGAGGGTCAGGACTAGGCTCATCTGTGCTTATGAGAGACAGCCTTCTGGTGCTCAGTCTTCTTCCTCATGGTGCAAAACATGAATATGTCACTGCATTTACCACCCTCTGCACATTTCACCTGCTTCTCTGCCTTCTCTCCCTTCTTCTTCTCCCCCTTTCCCTTTTCCTCCTTCTCCTTATCCCTTGTCACCCCCTTTCTCCTCTCCCCTTTCCCCATTACCTCCTTTTCCCCCTACTCCTCCCTCTTCTACTCATTCTCTTTCTCCCCCTACCCCTTCTCCATCTTCTCCTCCTTCTCCTTCATTAGAGAATATGAATGAACGATAGAAATACCTAGAAGAGTGAAAACACAGATTGTTCTTTGAGAAGCATGCTTTATAAATTAGGACAGGCTAGGCCACTATACAAAATTTGAATCAAGATTTGAAGGACATCACAGAAAGATGAGAATCTTGGCCATGCTGGATGAAAATGAATATGTCTGGCATGGGAGCAATGTATATATCTGTACATGTCTATCTATGTGTGTGTGCATATATACATATGGGTATATATACATAGAATCATTTGTATAAATACATGTACATATATTAACATTATCCTGGTTAGTCCTAACAAATATCCTAAGAGGGAGAAATTTACATCAGGAAATTAAAAGAATTTATAAGCTGAAAAAAAAAAGGAGTTTATAAACCATTAAAATTTTCACCTATGGTCCAACGGCTAATGAGTAGGAGAGGCAGAATTAGTACCAGTTGTGTGTTACTCAAGCACCTGTGGCTCTCCTGTGCAGCACACCACAGAGAAGGCAGCAGTCTGACTCCCAAGGTGTGGAGAAGAAGGGAGAGCCAGGAAATGTTACCTGCGGGGGAAGCCCGGTGCAGCTTAGGGAAAACCGGAGGGGCCATGAAATGCAATTTGATATGTTCAGTGCATCTAGCCTAAGTGAGACAGAAGTAGGTCATGACCATAGGCAATATTATGGTGAGCTTCTTCATAGTCAGCGTGTTGCTGCAGATGACAGGAAGACAATATCCCCGCCCTTTGTGTAGATGGTGAACATTGGCATTGGAGGTCCTAAGGCGGGACTCTGAAAACAGATCAAATTTTGTATCATGATGATATAGCTCCTTTGCGGCCCTTATCAAATTAATGAAGATCTATGGGATTCAATTTCTCCTGTATAAAGTAAATAAAAATAATAAAACTTACCAGATCCTCATCTGCATGATGATGTTGTGGGATTTAAATACTAGGATATTTGCGATAATCTGCTGTTTTCTAGTACATAAACATTTCCCCAGAGTCATGCCAATTTGTGCTTTTTATTGGTTTCTTTTCTGACTTGAAATAAATGATTTTAGGAAAGCACATTCATTCATTCTAAAATCATTAACTTTGCTCTATTTCAAGAAATAGAATAATTTGAGTAACAAGACACAGTCTTTCAAATTTCCTTCTATCCAGTTTTAAAGTAAATATTAGAGTATTGTAAAAATAACTTCATTCTCCTCATCTCCTATAATCATAATAAGCCCCTTCAACTTAACCTATTAGGTAAAAATGTATTCATATTCTCCTGATTTGCAACAAACTAACACAAATTTACTGACGGGCTTAACTTTTAGGTTTAAAAGAATGCACAGTTACTCTATCACAGTTTCTGTGGATCAGCAGTCTGGGCACAGTTTTCTGGGTTCTCTCCTTTAGTGTCTCCCTGGGATGTGTACAAGGTGCTTCCTGAGATACAGGCGAGAGCAGGGAAGGGCCTAGATCTAAACTAACTTGTGATTTTGGAGCATTCAGTTCCTTGCACTTGCAAGACTGAGACCCTCAGCTTGTACAGAGGGTCCAAACTTCCATAGGAAACTCATAATGTGGCTGTTACTTCTTCAAGGCCAGCAGGAGAAAGACGGCACCTCTGGGGAGAGAGCCTTAGATAACGTCACCTACCCACTGTAGTGACGGCCCATCACCTTTGCCACATTCCACTGACCACAAGGAATTCACAAATTCTGCCCTCTCTCTAGGGGAAGGGATTGCACAAAGTCATGAACACCAGGGGTCTCTTCAGCCAGAGGGGTTTGAAGACAGCTAGGGAAACTGTCTCCCAGCCACTGCCCAGGGCCCTCTGCCATGTGGGGACAGCCCATGGGTGTCCAGGAGCTGAATGACTGAACACAGACCCCAGGCCCTGACAGGCACTCTGCAGGGGAGGCAGATGCTGATACTTCAGAACAAAAGAAAGAGTCCTTTGGGATCCATTCACCGAGCCACCCTAAAGAGATGTTAGAGCCTTAATTAGATCCTCTCTGGAGGCAGGGAATGTTGCTGCAGTTTGTAAGCATGAGAGGCACTGTGTGGCTGCCTGAGTGCAACCCTGTCCTTGAGAGGGCATTAGCGGCCCTGACAGCTGCTGCTGGCCCAGCAGAACACCAGCAGCAGCCAGTGCTCCCCGGCATGGCCAGCAAAGCATGGGGGAGGCTTGGGCTCAGCTCACATCAGTCTGCCCGCTCTGTGCCACCTGCTTTCCAGTCCCGACCTATGTCCCAATCCTGAGGGCCACCCCTGTGACTCATCCAGGGACCAGGCCTTCCTGTGGTCCCCACGGTGGTGGGAGGGCCTTGCCACTTTGCCCGCATGTTTCTGCTTTTAGATATCACCAAGACTAGGTGTTCAGTGGATGGCCCTCTGTCCCTAGGAAGGACCAGATCCTCTTTGCCAAGGTTAGAACTCAATAGGAAGATTAAAGAGAATTGCATTTTTTAGGTATTTTATAGAGCCATGCACTGGTTACTGTGATCCCTGGCAGGAAAATGAAGGAAAAACAGATAATAGTGTCTGATTTGGGGTCAGAAGCCACCACCATTTAAATAAAGTAAACTATTCAGGACACTTGTTAAAGATGGAAGGTAAGGAGGACTTTATTCCAAGGGGGCTACTATAATGGGGTGCTGTAGTTGGGGAGAGAGATTAGCCCAACTCTGAATGCAATAAGGGAAAGTGAGGATTTATAGCCAAGGAGCAGGATCAGATGTTAGTAGATGGAAAATTACTAACGTTACTAAGAAAATCACTAAAAGGATACATATTGCTGAAATGACCAACAGAATTTTTGTAGGAAGGCAGGCCAGGGTGATAAAATGTTGAAGGGTGTTCAGACCAGGGGTAGGAATTTCTAGAAAACGCAGCAGGATTCTAGACAACGCAGAGAAGGACACTGGAAGCCTGAAAGTCAGGGCCCAGCCGAGAAGAGAGTTCAGAGGATCCTGACTGAGTTCGATCAAGGAGAGATTTGTCACCACCCAAGACTTTGCCCAAGCCTGACAATGGGCAGGTGTCTCTGGGCCCCTGCAGCCTTATATTGTGATGTCCCCCACTGCTGAATGTATTACTGGTATGGATAAATTGTCTGTGCACATCTTTGCTAATCCTTTGTACCCAAGCCACCATAGGGACGTTTTTGTGGGACATGTGGAGGACTGCAAACCTCCCTGATTTGGGGGCTATAGCAAATGGCCTGGTTTTTTCATTGGGCCTCTAGAGAGCTTTAGGCTGGCATATAAAACAAGCCTCCCCATGGAGATGGGGCATTTAGAGAAAAACCTGTTCTGCTCCTACTAAGATTTTATGATTCATATGGATGCTCAGCAGAGAGGACCCCACACTTGTCCAAGGGAGCAATCAGTGAGCAGACCCTGATTGTCAACTAAATGTGGAGACTAAAGTGTCCTCCACCCCAGAGCCAACAGGTACGTGTCCAATCTTCTGAATTCAGGTAAGGATGGCCTTTGAAAATCTAGACACCGTCTTACATCAGCCCTACCCACCAGACTGCTGGGGGACAAGAAAATGCTGAAAGAGTGCAAAAAGCCTGTCCCATCCCACCTCTCAGACTACATCACTGCCCAAGGACAGATTCCCCAGACCAAGGGGTGGAGTATATTGTTGGCAGGTAGAATGCCCTGCCCCACATCAAACCTCATGGCTCATCAGAGGTCTCATCCGGTCCTGCCTATACTTGACACTTTCATTCCATGTGTCCTGGCCGTTCCATGATTTCCACTGACTCAAGCGCCTCTCTCCGGACCCTACAATGTCACATTTGTTTCCTGTTGTCTCTGATAATGGCCCTGGGTTTGCAGCTCAAGCTACAAATCATGGACCTAATCATGGACCTAATCATGGGACGTGTAATGGACTCTTCATGCTTCATGCCACACTCAAGCCACAGGGGAAACTGAGGATTTTCATGGACAGTTAATGGATGGGATTTTGCAGCTGATGGTAAGAGATAAGACAACCCCAGCCTGGACTACACATGTCAGATAAACAATCTGGCTTTGCACTTCCCCCAAAAGGACGTTTCTCACTTGCACCTCAAGTTTGGTCAGGTTTTTGCTCCTTTCCTTCAGTTGTATATCCTTCTTTTACAATTTTAACGTCTCGGTGTTTGTGGAGGACTCTACAAGGGCCATCGAATCCCTTCAGCCCCTTTCTAAAGATTCAAGCAGATACAAGATTAATATGACAGCAAGGGACGAGAGATTTAAGACTTTTGTGCTAACCAAACATTATGTATCTTGATGTGTCTTGCTGATTAAGATGGGAAAAATGGTTTCCCGTATAAATGCTTTTGTCACCTTACATGGAATCCTTCTGGACTAAAAGGTTTGGATGAAAATAGGGCATTTTAAGAAATATAAAGTTCATTTTTAAAAAGCGACTCGATAGCAAAAATATAGGAAAATGAATAACAAACAACAGAACAAAAATCCTAAACTCTGGGATCTAGGGAGGCATGATAAAGGGGGAAAGACATCAGTGGTCTTTCTGATCTTTCAGAATGGACCCTGAAAGCTTTGCCCTGTTCCTGAATTGAAAGCTCAGGG